CGGCCATTAGGATGAATAAATCATTTTTCTCCCCAACAACAAACTGACCTAAATATGGGACTTCATAGTCTCTATTCACAGGGTAGAAATAATTAGTTATTAATTGGTAACTGGAAGATATTTATCAAGTGAAACCTAATATAGTTATTAAATTAATATCAGATTGTAATATTGTTATAGTAATTAAAGACATATTATTACAAGAATGCCAAAGTATAATTACATTTTCTCATAAAATACTACTGCCAAATTTCTAAATACGCAATAATTATTTACTTTAAATATTGGGTTTTTCTTTCCGTTACAGCTGTATATTGTCTCTCAGAGTATGAAGCCTACATTTATTCATAAAATACTAATGCAAAATTTCTAAATACGCAATAAATATTTACTTTCAATATTGGGTTTTTCTTTCGGTTACACTTGTATATCGTCTCCGAGAGTATGAAGCCTACATTTATCTACTGTTATTGTAGCGGTAACTAAACATTTATTACATTTTCTGAAAAAATACTACCGCCAATTTCGAAATTCACAATAAATGTTTACTCCAAATGTTGTACATCTGTTTTTTCTTTCAATTGAATATCTTCTTCAGAATATCTTCTTCGGAACATGTAGCCTACACATATTTGATTGTATCTGATATTATCTTCAAAGCCTGGGATGCGAGTCGCAACCTCATTGTTATATATACTGTAGACTGACTATCTGGTCCAACAGCACCCAAAATGAAATTATTTATTCTTGGACTTAAATATAAACATTTGAAAACTGGAATGATAAGCTGAAGTTCACAGTAAGAAATGGAACCTTATTGTTACGTGCCAAGATGCTTGTTGAATGACCTGAACTATGACCCCATGTACAGTAACTCTAACAGACTACTGGATCCATCGGCACCCTTTGCAGGAAATTATATTATCTTAGATACAGTACAAATAATCGCCTATTTATAATGAAATGTCAAATTTCGCTACAAGTATAAAGTTGTATCTTTGAATCGGTGAAATATCTGACTGCGTTCCTTCATGTAAGAATATACACATAGTCTATCAATCCAATCCAAGGCATTAACAGAAAGTCAGTTAGATTATTCTGATGTTTGGCGCCATGCCATTTCTACATGATGTAGCCTCCATTTTCTTTTCTAACTATCCCAGACACAAGAACAGAACCTCAAAATCTATATTCTCAAAGAATTTGGTGTGAAAGTTTGGCATAAATTGCATATTTTCTTTCTTAAGTCTACGTCTAGTTATAAATAACGATATATACAGAATCATGACAAAAATGACGTATAAATGGGCGACATAAGCTGCTTTTAAAGAAAATGAAATCAAATTTGAGGTTTAACATCCTACTGTCAGGCACCGACAAGCCGGTAATTTTTCTTATAAACGTATAATAATCAATTTATATGTACCGAAACCTGACCGTCTGCTATTTCAGGTTTCCCTTAATCTATATCATTACGCAATCTGGCACAATAATTGGACATAATTTCATATTTTTCTCTTGGAACTAGACACCATTTGATAGACAGAAATAAAAGAGATTGGGTTTAAAAGCCATTAAGAAAATAAAGAAGAAAAAGATCAAAACATATTAATGAAACTGAGTGGGCTTCAGTGTCTAGCATACACTTCATCAGTATTGTGAGAGAGAGACGGGGAGAGAGAGAGAGCGAGAGAGAGATTAATGTACTCAAGTGCCATCCTATAGGAAAGAAACTTAATTCAGGGTGTGCATAACTCAGAACACTTATAATTCCAGGAGTTTTCCAGGAGTTATTTTACGAGATTCCAGGAATCCCCGTATAGAATTCGACATCATAATGTATTTTTTTTTTTACCCTTGAAGAACATTTACTCATGAATTTTTGAAGAAACATTCGATGATTACGTTCAGTTTTATATCTTAAAATATAGGGAAACCACAAGTGTTAATTTTCCAGGAGTTTCAAGGAGTAACCTTGTTTTTCCAGAATTTTCCAGTACTGGAAATCAAATTTTTATTTTTCAAGGAGTGTGCGAAACTTGTAATTGCCTAATATCTAATAACTTTGGTTTAACATCAATTCTGACTATAAATTATGTGGTGAAAAGCAATCTTACAATGATATGTGTGGAATTCATGTTTTTACTTTCATTACATGGCAAATTGACAATATTTGTTTTACCTGTATCTATAATTGTTGAAATGTTACCGCCATAAAACAAGTTAAGAATTTAAGAGATTATGTAACTTCATTCTGATACTTTACAACAATAATTTTATTTCTAATTATACTTTTTGTTCTAGTAATTATTTCTGTATGTATATAATAATTTTTTTTTTTTCATCTTTCTTGCTAGGGGGGTTGTATGGCCAAATAGTTAGTGTGTCATTGAGTCAATTGGCGCAGTTTCGATTCCCCGGTTGTACGTGACAAGGAGTAGGATCGCCTGTCCAACCTCGTGGGTTTTCTCCGGGTCCTTCAGTTTCCTACCACAGTAGGGGTTTAATGCCCTACTGTTCTGCTGCAAACTGGGCTACAGTGTGCTATGAGGGAAATTTTGCCCTGACAGCGGCACTACGGCCTACTCTTATATCGAATTCCAACTGTCAAGGGATCTTTTACGTGCACGCCAATATGTACACGGGACCTCGTTTTTCCGTACCATCCGAATGACTAGACAGCTGTCCTTGTCAGGCCCTCCGTCCTGCATCCCTGACAAGGGGGAACCACACTGGAAAATGCAACAAGATGAAGTAATTAAAGGGCAAATAAGGGTCAAGTTTTCAGGGTTAAATGTGTGTCTGCTGGTTAGTAATAATAACATGTCTATATCCTGTTGGTAAGGTATGTTAGTTATTTACTGATGTTCAAACTATCACTACACTATCTGCTACTCAATCAAATTAACAACATATGTGACACTACTGGACAACCAAAACACCTACAGGTCAAGTTTATCCAGTACATTTATAAATTCTTTACATATTTTGATTGAGTAGCTTTCATCAGAGGGGGTTAAGTCTAGTGGCTGGGTTGGAATGATATACTGTGCAGCCTACATGTAAGCAGAGTCAATCAGAAATGAAATAGGGGTTTAATGTGATACTGTTCTGCACTGACTGGGCTTATGTACACAGGCATACGCCATACAATTTGCCCAGAAAGCGACACTACGGCCTACTCTTACAAAAAAAAAACAACTGTCAAGGGTACTTTTAAGAGCGTACATACACACCAATGTGTACACAGGACCTTGATATTGTTGACACTTTTCTACTTTTACTATAAAGGTTCGCCTACGCAGAGTCAATTAAAAACAGTAACTTCAATTAGTGTTAAGTCATATAAGGGCAATTATATAACTATAAATCTTTCAATACTGGTAAGCTCTAACATAATATTTTAACATAGAGGTTTTGGGTGATTTGCAAAAGCCATATAAGGGCAATCATACGACTTTCAATTTTTCAATATTGTAAGCACTAATATAATGTTTAACATGATTTGTAAAGGCCATATAAGAGCAATCATATAAGCACTAATAATATCTTTCAGGGGCTTAAATTGATTCTCAGTACAGTTTCCTTTTAAGTAATGAAATAAAAATCTAATCAACCATTCTACTTTGGTCAACATGACCGTCTGCTTTTTTACTGATTAGATGAACTTCCATCAAGTGTCTGTAGAGAATGGTCAACAGCCATAATTATGCAAGATCAAAGGAATTTTCAATAGGAGTCACTCAACAGAAGTCACATCAAGAGGAAATGAGAGAGAAAGAGAGAGAGAGAGAGGGAGGTCCACTCAAGAGAGAGAGAGAGAGGGAGGTCCACTCATGAGAGAGAGAGAGAGAGAGAGAGAGAGAGGGGGAGGGGGGGAATTATGCAAGATCAAAAGAATTTTCAATAGGAGTCACTCAACAGAAGTCACATCAAGAGAATATGAGAAAGAGAGAGAGAGAGAGAGAGAGGTCCACTCATGAGAGAGAGAGAGAGGGGGGAGGTCCACTCATGAGAGAGAGAGAGAGAGAGAGAGAGAGAGGGAGGTCCACTCATGAGAGAGAGAGAGAGAGAGAGGGGGAGAGGTCCACTCATGAGAGAGAGAGAGAGAGAGAGAGAGAGGGGGAGGTCCAGTCATGAGAGAGAGAAAGAGGGAGAGATAGAGAGAGAGAGAGAGGGATCCACTCATGAGAGAGAGAGAGAGAGAGAGAGAGAGGGAGGTCCACTCATGAGAGAGAGAGAGAGAGAGAGATCCACTCATGAGAGAGAGAGAGAGAGAGAGAGCAAGATCAAAGGAATTTTCAATAGGAGTCACATCAAGAGAAAATGACTGAAGTTCAGGAACTATTTTATTGTTAATTGTGTGTGTGTGTGTGTGTGTGTGTGTGTGTAGAATATGATGCTGATGTGTGCATGGAACACTGCCAAATCAAAACCAATGTTTCAGGGTCTAATTTTAAAATAGAAGACAAAATGCATGGAACATTGCCGAATAAAAACTTATGTTTCACAGTCTAATTTTTAAAAATGAAATGAAATGAAATGGGGTTTAACGTCCTACTGTTCTGCTCCGAACTGGGTTAATGAAGACGGGCATACGCCATACAGTGTGCTATGAGGGAAATTTTGCCCGGACAGTGGCACTATGGCCTACTCTTATATCGAATTCCAACTGTCAAGGGATTTTTTACGTGCACGTCAATGTGTACACAGGACCTTGGTCTTTCGTCCCATCGGAACGACTAGACAGCTGTCCTTGTCAGGCCCTCCGTCCTGCATCAATGACAAGGGAGAACCACGCCGGAAAATCTGGATGAACTTTCTCGGCCAATGCAGGGATCGAACACCCCGACCTAGTTTCATTGTGTTAGTGCTGCAGGATGACTGGCCTGTTTTCTGGCGTGGTTTCCCCTAGGATCGATCCTACTGGTCAGCAAGCCATTATCATATTCATCGAGCCACTGTGGCACCCCCGCCCCCAATTTTAAAATAAAACTTACCTGTGTTTATGAATGAGAGCATTAAATGCGAGGCCATCTCTCCAACTTGAAGTGAAGTTACGAACATTAACATTTGGGTATCCGGCAGTTTTCATCTGACACCACAGTAGTAGGGCGTCTTTAGCCGATTTTGTTTCACTATTATCTGATTCTTCAAATGTAATGTCTTGGATCTGAAAGGTCGAACAATATGATAGAAACATCGTATTCATAAAACCAGATCGTCACATGGGCTGCTCATCACATGTTGAACGTATTTATAAAACCAGATCATCTCATGAGCTGCTCATCACATTTAAAAATTTAGAATTTTTTTCAATGAACCAATGATGAAACTATTTATGCCATCTTGATAGCAACACTCAGGACACAATTTGATGGAATAAGGCTGGCTGGTCAACACATTTAACCTTTTTGAAAATTTTCATCGAAATAGTAATTAAACTATAATAAATTAAGCCATCTGAAGAGCAATAAACAGGACACAATTTAAGGGAATACAATTAATTAACGACATTTTGATTACACGCCTTCGAAACAATCCCGCTGGACAGTCATAATGTTTCATTGTTTTAATAGTTCAAGATCCTTTAGGTATGCACATCATAATATGACATCGAAAACAATAGGTATATTAATTTATGAAAATACGTGCCTAAGATAGTCAATTAATCTGGTGACTAATTAACATGGATGTTTTAATTTGAAATTAATTCAATTAGACCTTGATTTTATTATAAGTAGGGTGTATTGCACTAAACGGCAACACATTAAGTATGTGAATAAACATATCTCTTATCTAAATGATATAGAAAATTAAAATACTATTGGTAATGGGTTTGAAACGAAGTCAATGTCATATCAGCATGATTCTTCTTCAGTTGTATTTTTAATGTAAGGGTTGTAATTTTAATTCAAGGGTTGTATTTTTAATTTAAGGGTTGTAATTTTAATTCAATGGTCGTAGTTATTAATTCAAGGGTTGTAGTTTTTAATTTAAGGGTCGTAGTTTTTAATTCAGGGGTTGTAGTTTTTAATTCAAGGGTTACAGTTTTAATTTAAGGGCTGTAGTTTATAATTCAAGGGTTGTAGTTTTTAATTCAAGGGTTGTAGTTTTAATTTAAGGGTTGCAGTTTTTAATTTAAGGGTTGTAGTAATTCAAGGGTTGTAGTTTTTAATTCAAGGGTTACAGTTTTAATTTAAAGGCCGTAGTTTATAATTCAAGGGTTGTAGTTTTTAATTCAAGGGTTGTAGTTTTAATTTAAGGGTCGTAGTTTTTAATTCAGGGGTTGTAGTTTTTAATTCAAGGGTTGTAGTATTCAAGGGTCGTAGTTTTAATTCAAGGGTTGTAGTTTTAATTTAAGGGTTGTAGTTTTAATTCAAGTACTGTATTTCTAATTCAAGGGTTGTTCTTTTAATTCAAGGGTTGTAGTTTTAATTTAAGAGTCGTAGTTTTAATTCAAGGGTTGTGGTTTTAATTTAAGGGCTGTAGTTTTTAATTCAAGTGTTGTGGTTTTTAATACAAGTGTTGTGGTTTTTATTCAAGTATTGTATTTCTAATTCAAGTATTGTATTTCTAATTCAAACTGTATTTCTAATTCTACATTTTAAGCTGCTTATCATTATTCAGGGGATTTTGAATCCCTTGCAAACTACAATATTGTGAAAGTTGAATTTTTAATACGAATATCAGTCTAAAATTGATTCATTCTGTTAAGTATTTATAAAAAGAGAGAGAGAGAGGGAGAGAAATGGGGTTTAACGTCCACTCGACACAAACTAGGTCATTTCGGGACTAACACATGGTTCAATTTTATTTCAATTATTCGCTTGCTTGTAGGGGTCTTTAGCAGTGGGAGGAATCTGGAGGACCCGGAGAAACCCACAAGGTTGGACAGGCGACCCAACTCCTTGTCATGTTCAACTGGGTAATTGAAACCCTGCCAGTTGACTCAATGACAGACCGTATGATTTGGCCATCCCACCCCCACCCATTATTTATAAAGATAGGATACAATTTTGCAACATTCAGCATTAAGTGCAGACGAGGAAATCAAACCAGCATAACCTAGGAACTTATGCGTTGGTTAAAATCTATTGATGGGTGTCTTATTAATCTGATTAAATCCGAACCAGAAGATTATCTACCTTTGATATTTTAGCGTAGGTTAACCCATGAAAACTCAGATATTGTCTGAATAAGGCATAAGGGTTTGACAAAATCTAAGGTCAACTACATCAGCCCAAAATTTGTATAACTTTACAATTAAGTTCGTATGATCATTTTAGTCTTCTCCAATTAGACTTGAACTACAGAGAAGAAATCGGGAATTTGCTTAAATTGTTGTTAAAATTGCTTAAATTGTTGTTAAAATTATACAAATTTTCCTTTATTTTACACAAATTGTCGTTAAGTTTACATAAATTGTCTTTAATTTTACACAAATTGTTAAATTTTGCACAAAGCGTAATTTTACTTTTGCAATGTGTGATATGAAAGTGAATGAAAATCGTACCTGGAATCTAAGGATTATGGTCCATATAAGACCAAGAGTGAGTCGTGAGCTACCATCCACGATATCGTGGGCGCCCATATTTTCTAAATGTACTCTCTGTTCATGGAGGAAACCGAGGGCTTTGTCTACATTTTCAAGGCAGTGAATTCTCATTTTTCCTTTGGTTGGTTTAGGCTGAAAAACAAGTGCATATAATTAAAGTTCTGAACGGGTACTAGAAAAACATTCAATTCAATATGTACAGCCATTTGACTTCTATACCAACTAGGCTAACGAAGACTGAAATACGAAGCAAATTTTGCGTTCCCATCCACTCTTAATCAATTTTCAAACCATTAATATGTGTTTTACACAAGATATCAGTTTTTTGTGCCATGCGAAGGACAAGACGTTATTCCTTTCTTCTCTCGAAACAAATGCTTTTGGCTTTTGGAGTCCACGTGAGGAAAAAGGTTAGGAACAACTGAACTAAATCATCTATAAATTGATGGCTTTTTATTTAATTAACATACATGTATTGCCTTTAAATGAATCAAATGAACATTATTACATGTACTTACAAGTCGTTCTCCTGATAAAACCTCAAGTAATTTCATTAGCATCTTTCCATCTCGTAAATCCACGTACAGGTCTGCTATCTTGCATCCTACGCGGACTAAATGTGAATTGACCCATTTTTGAAAGGTCTTTTTCTGTACGTTTTCTCTTTCGTCTGAAAGATAAAAAAAAGTTCTAATTTTAAAATGACATTCAAAATTTCTACAATTATTTTGATCAGGATTTGCAAGTTGAGCTATAAATGGCAGGACAATTCTTATTTCATTCAGGGACCACAAAACAATATATGTTTGAGATTGTCGTTGCATTTTTTAAATTGTTTTATTAGATGCTAGAAACAGCACTAAAGATGATCATTTATATACTCAGAGTCTTATTAAAAAAAACCCTTAAAATATTTCTATATGGAGACCTTACATTGGCCAAGAGAAAAGATTCATGCCAATGAACCATCAGTGTTCTTTAAATATTTTGGCTTGATTTTTATGAATATATGGCCAACTGAATATTAGCCCTATAATTTTAAGTGAAGCAGTGAGATATTTGGCTAAGTTGAGGTATTTAGATCAGATGAGGTATATGCCCCAAGCATTGGGGTATTTGGTTGATTTGAGGTATATGCTTATAGCAATGGCATATTTTGTTGAGTTGAGGTGTATGCCCATGTGTACCTTATCTTTAATATCTTTCTTTTAAGCGGATATATATTTATAATTCTATATACATGTACTTTGCTATCTATTATTTGCATAGTAGTGTCAAATCATGTCAAATTTAATAAAAGTTGACCTGGCAGGTTTGAATGTTGGGAGTGCTTTTATTGTATTCAACTTAAATTCAAAAATATAAGGTAAACTTTTCTTATCAGGTTACAAAAGTTGCACTTAATGTCATATTAATAAGAAATAACTTGTGTAGAATATTGAATAAGAAATATCTTGTAGGGAATATTGCATGAGTAATAACTTGTAGGGAAAATTCAAAGAGGAATAACATTGTAAAGATTATTGAATGAGTAATCACTTGTAGAGAATATTGAAATAACATGTAGAGAAAATTGAAATAACTTGTAGGGAATTTTGTATGAGTAATTAGAGAATATTGAATAACTTGCAGGGAATACTGAATAACTTATAGAGAATATTGAAAAACTTGTAGAGAATATTGAATAACTTATAGAGAATATTGAAAAACTTGTAGAGAATATTGAATAACTTGTAGAGAATATTGAATAACTTGTAGAGAATATTGAATAACTTATAGAGAATATTGAAAAACTTGTAGAGAATATTGAATAACTTATAGAGAATATTGAATAACTTATAGATAATATTGAATAACTTGTAGGAAATATTGAATAACTTGTAGAGAAAATAGAAATAACTTGTAGGGAATTTTGTATGAGTAATTAGAGAATATTGAATAACTTGTAGAGAATATTGAATAACTTGTAGAGAATATTGAATAACTTGTAGAGAATAGTGAATAAGAAATAATTTGGTTGAGAATATAAAATGGATCTATTTGTGGGTATTCGTAAATAAAGGTGTATCATAAACCAGGTAATCACATAAAATGACATGTCTCTTTAATTCAAACTGTCAAAAAAAATCAGGGAACACGTCTTTACACTTGATTTGAAAAATGACCTATCTATCATATGGCATATTATGGGTAAATGAAGAAATGAAATTAAATCTGGTTTAACATTCTGCTTTTCTGCACTGACTTGCATAGTGCAACTCAATCTTTCAAAAAGATCAAGGAAAGGAGAGAGAGAGAGAGAGAGAGATGGGTTTAAGGTCAACTCGACACAAACAAGGTCATTTTGGGATTAACACATGGAAAATTTTTATGTGGTCTTTAGCAGTGGGAGGAAACCGGAGGACCCGGAGAAACCCATGAGGTTGGACAGGCGACCCAACTCCTCGTCACATACAACCGAGGAATCAAAACCACGCCAGTCGACTCAATGACAGACCTTATGATACAGCACGCACACGCTATATAACCACTCAGTTCAATAATTCACTTGCACACAGGGGTCTTTAGCGGGAGAAAGGGTTTAATGTCCACTCGACACAAACTAAGTCATTTCGGGACTAACATAAGGTTTAATTTTATTTCAATAATGGGCTTGTGCATAGGGGTGTTTAGCAGTGGGAGGAAACCAGAGGACAAGATAAAAGATCAAGGTGTATATTAATTATGTAAACAGACACCCACATCAACTATGTTTTTAACAAGGCAGGTAGTCTACAATATAATGGTGATTCAGGTCAAGTTGTTTTCAAGGATAAAACACTATAAATATGTAAATGACAGTTTTGAATATTAACCATCATGCTGTTTTTCACACCACCTCCACGGTTGTTTAACTACCGGATTTATTTAAATAAACGTATAGGTGAAATGGTGTATTATTTTTATGCTGCATCTGGGCAAATGAATACAGGCATATGCCATGATGTGTGCTGCAAGGGAAATTTTGCCTGCACAGTCATGCTATAACCTACTCCTATTTCAAGTACCAACTGCCATGGGTCGATTCACAGGTTTGCTTTGGTGTTGGCCGAGAAAGTTCATCAGGATTTACCAGCGTGGTTTCCCCTTGTCAGTGGTGCAGGACGGAGGGCCTGACAAGGACAGATATCTAGTCGTTCGGATGGGACAAAAAAAACGAGGTCCTGTGTACACATTGGCGTGCATGTGAAAGATCAATTGGCAGCTGGTAAACAATATAAGAGTTGGCCATAGCGCCGCTGTCCGAGCAAAATTTCCCTCATAGCACAGTGTATGGTGTATGCCCGTCTTAATTAGCCCAGTCAGAGTAGAACAGTAAGACATTAAACCCCATTTCATTTCATTTAATGGTAATATTAGAGTTTATTAAGATGACTACGGTAGTGATACCCTTGCTAGAGGTTAGTTAGTGTTGTTATCTTGTATCAGTCAGTGTTTGATGTATGATAATCCACTGGTATGAGTAATATCAAAATATGGTGACACGTAATAAATAACTATTTCATCTTAAGGAAATAAAACAAGATTATTTGTAATATACATACATATATTGATCACATTGTCGCTATTTGCATAATTCTCTTGTGGGTTGGGGTCTGTAGTGGTGGGAGGAAACTATAGGTCAGAGAAAACCCATGAAATGAAATGGGGTTTATCGTCCTACTGTTCTGGTCTGACTGGGCTAATGCCTGAGCGATGCATTGTGCTATGAGGGAATTATGCCAGGACAACAGCGCTATGACCTACTCTTATATCAAATTCCAACTGCCATAGGTTCTTTTTACATACACGTCAATATATACATCCGACCTCAGTTGTCCCATCCGAAAGACTATACATTGTCCTGCACCACTGACAATTGGGAACCACGTCGGAAAATAATGTGGAATTTTTCTCGGCCAATGTCTTACTCAGACAGTATCATTCATAATACGGCAGATTTATATCACATTTCCACGATTAGCAAAATCTTGTGTATAATTTTATGATGGGCTTGATCATTGACTATATTAACTAGGTATAAGTCAGGTATTTCTGTGAAGATATGTAGAGTAAGATGATTATCTGATAATGTAGAACACCTGATGATGAATATATTAACAGGTAAACTAGGATTACCGGCCAATTGTTATACTATTTATAACTTTTATTGTCTTCCATTAAAAATATACCGGGCAAATAGTTCTCACAAAAATAGTTCTTAACTATTAATGTATTTTTGTTCGACAAAGACCTCATCTTTAAATCTCTGGTCCATATAGTAAAATTGTCACTTTTCTTAAATTTGTCATCGCATTTGTACTTAGCAGAATGTTCACAAGCAGTTCGAATTCGATATAAGAGTAGGGCGTAGCGCTGCTGTCTGGGCAATATTTACCTCATAGGACACTGTAAAGCGCATGCCTGTCTTCATTAACCCAGTCAGGGCAGAATAGTAGCATGTTAAATCCCATTTCATTTCTAATTGAAGAAATATGGTTTCAGATTGACAGTACATAGAGTTACTCTAGTAACAAGAATCAGTGACCTACCTTGTACGATAATTAACAATCCTGATAATTCTAGTTCTATAGTTTATTATAAATCAATAAAACCAGGAATTCTTGTTTAATCAATATCTACACAAGGTAAACACACTATTCTATATATAGTCATAAATAATGCAGACAATTTTCAGACTCAATCTACAGTGAAAATATAAACTTAAATATTTTGAAAACATCTTAAAGGAGCTAAGTCTCTAACTCAATATCTTCCATAATATTTGAAATCAAAAACACAAATAAAATAAAAAAAATATCTGACAACAAACGACTGCCTTTCAATTTGAAGTGTTCACGTATTTCAATGAACATAATTGATTAGAAATTACCATATTGTTTTCAAAAATTGAAGATAAATCACTTTACATACATTCATATTTTAGAACCATTTTATTAACTCAACAAGAATAAATTGATAATTGATTAGAAATTTGATTCAACAAGAACAAATTCAAAACACAACAGGGTCTAGTGAGCTACAAGTGCACTTGAACAATCAGTATAAAAATATGACCTGTTTAACGGAACCATAAATATATGTATCAGTTCATATTACCAACCTATAAAATAATATCACATAGACCACCTACAGAGTAATCAACTCATGGTGAATATATTTCACATTAATTAATCAATAATATAACCATATACTATGTGTATATAATATAATATGCTTGGTCAGCTTCATTTAATACAGAGGGCGCTGTATCATACGGTCTGTCATTGAGTCAACTGGCGGGGGTTTCGATTCCCCGGTTGTACGTGACAAGGAGTAGGGTCGCCTGTCCAACCTTGTGGGTTTTCTCCGGGTCCTCCGGTTTCCTCCCACTGCTAAAGACCCCTACGCGCAAGCGAATTATTGAAATAAAATTGAACCATATGTTAGTCCCGAAATGACCTTGTTTGTGTCGAGTGGACGTTAAACCCCATTTCTCCCTCTCTCATTTAATACAGTCTACAATATATCTGCCTAATACAGTCGTCTCGTAAAAATCAACTGGGCAATTCAAATTGATCAATGGCCGCCTGCAGACAACGATTGGTCAGTTTCAATCAACTATGATACAAGACGTCTGCTTCTGTTTTG